GTTGGGGTTTAGTCCAATTCTGCATCCTTTCCTTCAAGGCTCAGGGGTCCAAGATTATCTTCTGTGTCTGTGTTAATTGGTTTCCCTTTCCTTTGTTGAAGAGGGTCTGTGCAATCCTTCTGCCTAGTCCGCCATCTTGCCGGCCTGTATCTGGCTTAACTTTTATGAACATGTTTCCTTACTTCTAAAGTCGAGGCAGTTGTAATACCTACAGAATGTTCCTAAGGCATTGAAGGTTTTCTTTTGTAAATTCCTTTTACCCTTAGTAGAGATAATGATGGGCTTTACTTGCATTCATTAAAAAGACAGGAAAGAAAGAAAAGACCAAAATAGATGTCAGGAGAAACTCTGAAACTTGCTCTTGAACATATATAGTAGTTAAAGTGAATGGAAGAAATAATGAAGTAAAAACTGCACAGAATATTTCAAAGGGCCACTCGGGAAGACAAAATAAAGTATTACCATGAAATGCTGAAAGACCTGGAGTTGTAAAACCAGAAGGGAAGAACATGCTTTGTATTTCTCAAGCTGAAAGAACAATAAAAAATTTAAACCTTGAGTTGCAATATTGAAGGATCCTATGGATAAAATATTGAACAGTACAGGGAGGATCAAAAGAAGATGGAAGGTATATACACAGAGTCACCGTACCAATGAGATTGGTCAGTTTTCATCCATTTCAAGACGTAGCATATGATCAAGAACTGATAGTATTGAAGGAAGAAGCCCAAGCTGCAGTGAAGGCATTGCTGAAAAACAGAGCTCCAGGAATTGACAGAATACCAATTGAGATATTTCAAGGAATAGATGCAACGTTGGAAATGCTCACTTGTCTATGCTAAGAAAATTGGGAGACATTCCCTGGTTAACTGACTGGACCAAGCTCACTGACATCAAGTCAGTTCTGACTCATAGCGACCCCCATTGGGTTTCTGCTGTGGTAAATATCTACGGAAGTAGATTGCCCAGTCTTCCTTCCATGGGGTGGCCTAATGGGTTTGAACTGCTAACCTTCTGGTAGCAGTCATATGCCTTAGACATTGTGCCACCAGAACTCACTGGAAGAGATCCATATGTGTGCCCATTACAAAAAAAGGTGATCTAGCAGAATGTGTAAATTATGAAACAATATCATTAATATCACATGCAAATAAAATTTTGCTGGAGATAATTAAAAAGTACTTGCAGGAGTACACTGCCATGGAATGGCTGAAAATTTGTGCGGATTCAGAAGAAGACATGGAATGAGAGATGTCATTGCTGATGTCAGATGGATCTTGGCTGAAAGCAGAGAATACCAGAAAGACATTTACCTAGGTTTTACTGACTGTGCAAAGGCACTCAAGTGTATGGATTATAACAAATTATGGATAACATTATGAAGAATGGGAATTCCAGAACATATAATTTTGGTCATGAAGAACCTACCTGTTCATAGACAGTCATTTGAACAGAACAAGGGGATACTGCATGGTTTAAACTCGGGAAAGATGGGCATCAGAGTTATAATCTTTCACCATAATTACTCAGTCTGTATGCTGAGCAAATCATCTGAGAGGCTGGACTATCTGAAGAAGAATGCAGTGTAAAGATTGGAGGAAGACTTATTAATAACCTGCAGTATGTAGATGATGCTTGCTGAAAGCGAAGAGAACGTGACGTACTGGTGAAGATCAAGGGCTACAGCCTTCAGTATGGATCACACCTCAACATAAAGGAAGCAACAATGTTCACAACTGGATGAATAAGCAATATTATGATAAACGAAGAAAATATGGAAGTTGTCAAGATTTCATTTTACTTGGATCCGTAATCAGTACTCATGGAAGCAGCAGTCACAGAATCAATCATTGGGTTGCAGTGGGCAAATCTGCTGCAAAAGACCTGGTTAAGTATTGTAAAGCAAAAATGTCACTTTGAGGACTAAGATGTGCTGACTCAAGCCACAGTCTTTTCAGTTGCCTCATATGCATGTGAAAGCTGGACTGTAAATAAAGAAGGCCGAAGAAGAGTTCATCCTGTTGAATTATGTTGTTGGTGAAGAAAGTTGGATATACCATGAAGTGCCAGAAGAACAAACAAATCTGTCTTTGAAGAAGTAAAGCCATAATGCTCTTTAGAAGCAAGGATGGTGACAGTTTATCTCATGTACTTTGGACATGTTATCTTTTGGGACCTGTTGCTGGAAAGGACATCATGCTTACTAAAGTAGAGGGTCAGTGAGATGGGTTGACAAAGTGGCTGCAACAGTGAGCTCTAACATAGTAGTGATTGTAAGGTTAGTGCAAGACTAGACAGTGTTTCTTTCTGTTGTGCATAGGGTCACTGTGAGTCAGTTTACTTGATGGCATCTAATGAGCAGCTTGCAGTTTGGTGGTGGCAATTCATGTTGTCTTTATTCCTGAATTACATTTCTCAGAGATGATGAGGGTAGGACATAGTTATTTTCTTCTTGCCTTTATTGAATACATTCAGCAACGTTTTGGGCCAGGCTCTGGCATTACTTGGATTATTTTGTTTAGTCCTTATAATCAATTATGTGGTGTATAGTGTAGTAATCTGTTTTATAGATGATGAAAGCAAGACTTGAGTTAAAAATTTATTCCAGTCCACAGAGTAATAAAAGGTAGAAAAGGACACTGTGCTGATTCTATGATGTTAAAGCCTGTGTTCCTAATGATTCTACTCTCTTATTTTCTGTTGTGTAGCAGCTGTTAAAATTCAGCATTCCACATGTGAGAAAAACAAGTATGTTGGCCATTGTAGAAAATCTCTGTTCAGCAAGGAAGTGGATATTTCAAAGCTGTTCTTTTTCTTTTTTGCTTCCTTCTTTTCACTTTTCACTGTGGTCCATGGTAGCATGCCTACTCAGTGTTTGATATGTAAGACCTGGTTGGTTGTTTGGCTTAATAGGAATGATGGAGCAGACATACTTTATAATGACATTTGTCAGTTAACAAAGATTAGTGATATGTAGGTGTCTGATATAAATATGTTAACATAAGCCTGCTTGTTATTGAGATGATATCTTGTAAATTAAACAAGGCTATGAAATAATGATGCCTCTTCAATGCTAGCATTTTCTTGAGCTCCTTGTTCCTTTAAAGTATAAGCAGAGGGTGGCTACCTGTCAGGGCAGGCTGGATTTGTAGATCTCTGTGGGTGTTTGTGGAGTCTCTGGATGGTATAGATGATTAATGCATTTGGCCCCTAACAAAAAGATTGGAGGCTTGATTGCACTGAGAGACTTCTTGGAAGAAAGATGTGTGGATCTACTTCTGAAAAATCAGCCATTGAAAGCCAGGTGGAGCATGATTCTGCTCTGACACATATGGGGTTACCATGAGTAGGAGTTGAGTTTTTTTTTAAGGGTGTTTGCAGTGTTATGATTCGGTACAGTGCCAATAGCTGTGTAATAGATTTTTGCCTTTATTTTGAAGCTGAATTAACTAGAAAATCAATGTATTATTATAAGAGATATGATTCATATTTTGTTAAATTATATTACCTTACACTTTTTTTTTTACTTTTTTAGGCCAAAGAATTGGATGCAATTGTTCTGAGTCTGCTTACCCTAGATGCTGAATCAATCTACAGCTTGACTTCGAAGCCTATTCTGCTGTTATTAGCCCGAGTTATCCTAGTGAATATAGGACATAAACTTACAGCTATTCGGGTAAGGGAAGGAAAAGGATCCACAGAGACTTATACCCAGTTGTGACTTTTTATTAGCACCAGCCTATAGATGTGATGCTGACAGTGTCTTGGTATATTTTGTTTTCTAAGTGTTCTCCTACGTATTTAATTTTAAATTTTGATGAAAATAAGCAAAATCTTTTCTCCTTTCATGAAATTTATTGCATACAACATGAGATGGTACTGAACCTCTTGGATAGGATTATATCTGTGGGTGTGTGTATAAATGTAAATTCTCTGAATCCTAAATATAAATTTAAATATTCCTCATAAGTGAAGGCCTGATACATCTATAACACGGATGAACCTTGAAAAAATTATACTGAGTGAACTAACTCAGTCACAAAATGACAAATGTGTCACAAAATGACAAATGTTGTATGATCCCACTTACGTGAGATATCTAGAATAGCACATGTATAGAGAGTAAAGTTCATTGGTGGTTGCTGGGTTAGTAGAGAGGGTGAATAGGGGGAGTTATTTATTGCCAGGGGCACTGAGCAGTGATTATGAGGTTAGTGTAGGCCCATGCAGTGTTTTGTCTGTTGTACCTAGGGTCACTATGAGTCGGAATTGACTCAGTAGCATCTAACAACAACTTGCCATTTGGTTGTAATTCATGTTAAGTCCTTATTCCTCTATTACATTTCTCAGTGATGATAAAGGTAAGACAGAATTATTTTCTAGAGAATTTAAAACAGTAGAGATGGTTGTGCAACATGATGAACATCATTAATGTGATTAAATTGTACCTGTAAAAATGTTGAAATGATAAAAATTTTTATGTGTGTATACCTACTATAATTTAAAAAAGTGAAGAAACAAAAACAGAAAGAGAAATCCAGCCCCTCAAATCCTTCATAGGCTTTAAGAGTTTTTTGTTATGAATATATATGTAACAATATGCTTGCCATTTCATCCATTTTTACATGTAGAATTCAGTGATATTAATTATGCTCCACCATGATGTGTAACCATTGCTACTCACTGTTTCTAAATTTTTCATCACACATAGTAGAAATTCAGTACCCCTTAAGCAATACCTGTCCCCCACCCGCGCCTCCTCCATCTCTGTCGTTAGGTGCTGTTGAGTTGATTCCAGCTCATAGTGACCCTGTATACAAGAGAACAGAACAGTGCTCCATCCTGCACCATCCTCACAATCCTTGCTATGCTTGAGCCCATCATTACAGCCACTGTGTCAATCCATCTCATTGAGGGTCTTCCCCTTTCTCTTTGACCCTTCGCTTTACCAAGTATGATATCCTTCTCTGGGGACTGGTCCCTTCTGACCACATGTTCAAAGTAGGTGAGATGACATCTGACTCTTCTTGCTTTCAAGGAGAATTCTGGCTGCACTTCTTCCAGGATAGATTTGTTCGTTCTTCTGGCAGTCCGTGGTATTTTCAGTATTCTTTGCCAACACCACAATTCAAAGGTATCTACTCTTCCTCAGTCTTCCTTATTCATTGTCCAGCTCTCACAGGCACATGAGGTGATTGAAAATACTGTGGCTTGGGTTAGGCACACCTTAGTCTTCAAAGTGACATCTTTGCTTTTCAATACTTTAAAGAAGTCTTCAGCTGATTTGCCCAGTGTGATATGTTGTCTGATTTCTTGATTGCTGCTCCTATGGGTGTTGATTGTGGATCCAAGTAAAATGAAATCTTTGACAACTTCAGTCTTTTCTCCGTTTATCATGATACTGCTTATTGGTCTAGTTGTGAGAATTTCCATTTTATGTGGAGGTGTAATTCATACTGGATACTGTAGTCTTTGATCATCATCAATAAATGCTTCAAGTCCTCTTCACTTTTAGCAAGAAAGGTTGTGTCATCTGCATATCTCAGGTTGTTAATGAATCCTTCAATCCTGATGCCATGTTCTTCTTCATGTAGTTCACCTTCTCGGATTATTTACTTAGCATACAGATTGAAAAAGTATGGTGAAAGAATACAACCCTGACGTACTCCCTTCCTGATTTTAGACCATGCAGTATCCCCTTGTTCTGTTTGAACAACAGCTTCCTGGTTTATTATGTACAGGTTCCACATTAGCACAACTAAGTGTTCTGAAATTCCCATTCTTTTCAGTGTTATCCATAATTTGTTATGGTCCACCAAGTTGAATGCCTTTGCCTAGTCAATAAAACACAAGTAAACTTCATTCTGGTATTCTTTGCTTTCAGCCAAGATCCTCTGACATCAGGAATAATATCCATTGTTCCACATACTCTTCTGAATCCAGCTTGCATGTCTGGAAGTTCCCTGTCAGTATACTACTGCAACTGTTTTTGAATTGTCTTCAGCAAGATTTTACTTGCATGTGATATTAATGGTTTTGTCCACATTCTGTTGGATCACCTCTCTTTGGAGTGAGTACAAGTATAGATCTCTTGTAATTGGTTGGCCAGATAGCTGTCTTCCATCCCTTGTAAGCACTAATGAACTTTGGTTGATATGCCTTTGTACCTAGTCTGGATATTTCATATAAGAGTAATCTTGGAATATTTATCATTTTGTGTCTGATTTATTTCACTCAGCATAAACTGTCCAAGACTCATCTATGTCCTGGCATTTCTCTTTATGATGCAGTAATATTCCATTATATGTATATATATACCACATTTTATTTATCCATTCATTTGTTGATGGACACTTAGTTTGAGTCCTTGCTTTCAGTTCTTTGGGGTATTTACCCAGGAGTGGAATTGCTAGGTCATATGTTTATCTCCTTCAGGAACTGCCATACTGTTTTCCATAGTGGCTTTACCATTTTACAGTTTGACCAGCAATGGATGAGTGTTCCACTTTCTTCACATCCTTGCCAACATTTATTTTTCATTTTTCTGACAATAGCTGTCCTAGTTAGGGTAAGTAGTATCTTGTTTTGATTTTCATTTCTGTAATGAGTAATGATGTTGAGCAGTTTTTCATGTACTTGTGGGCCATTAGTCTATCTTTAGTGAAGTGTCTGTTCAAGTTTTTGCCCATTGTGTTTTTGTCATTGAGTTATAGTTCTTCATATATTCTGGGTATTAAACCCTTATTATACATGGTTCCAGTGACTGGAAGAGATCCATATTTGTGCCCATTCCAAAGAAAGGTGATCCCACAGAATGTAGAAATTATAGAACAATATCATTAATATCGCACGCAAGTAGGATCTTACTGAAGATAATTCAGAA